CAAGTTTGGGTAGGAAACAGAAACATACATTTGGAAAAGGTTCCTATGCACGGATAGCGCTAATATGTAGATAGTTTTTCCAGGCGTGCATCACATAGAGACCTCTGTGTTATGCTTTCCTGATTTCTCTATAGAACGTGTACGCGCATCTTCCCCACCCAGCCATAACGTCATTCGCGTAGGGATGTCAGCCCCTCCACCTCAACGGGTCTTCGCGCGTACAAGCATTAGCCACACATGATACTCGGGAGTATGCAAAATGTATGTACACACGCTCTAGCACAAGTGCACAACACATGCTCTGGTTGTCTAGCACGATGTATCGCGCGCGAGTATCATTTCTGCACGGCTGACACATATAACCATGAATAAGCTAGCTAGCTGCGCATTCACTCATCATTCAGCACACATGAAGTATGCTCATGCACATGCTTCGATCCGAAACGTCCCAGGCGGCCGGCACAAACCGCCCGGACAGTTTATTAGCGGTTGAAGCATTTACATGTAATTTATGACATTTAATGTCCGCTAAGCAGTCACTGTAAGTAACATTCTGGGGCTGGGGCCCGTTGTCAGAAACAAAATTAGTCTAATATGAGTAAATTAGCGTAATAACGCAATATCAGCTCGTAATATTTTGCGTAATGGGATTCATCAGCAAATCTACGAGCGATTCTATGATGGATAAAATTTTACCAACAGATGTATTATCAGATTTACCAGCGGTTTTACTAATTAATGCGTTTGGGATTTGTAGATTACCGTTTAGATATACCAGCACAAACACATTTACCATATTTACCAGCCCATTTACCAGAATTAATTACCAGCACATTTACATGATTTACCAGCACATGCATTAACCAGATTTACCAGCACATTTACCAGATTTACCAGCACATTAACCAGATTTATCAGAACATTTACCAGATTTACCAGCACATTAACCAGATTTACCAGCACATTAACCAGATTTTACCAGCAATTTACAATTACCAGAACATTTTACAGACTTATCAGAACATTTACCAGATTTACCAGCACATTTACCAGATTTATCAGAACATTTACCTAGACTTTACCAGCACCACTTTACCAGATTTACCAGACATTTACCAGATTTACCAGAACATTACCAGATTACCAGCACATCTATACCCAGATTTATCAGAACATTTACCAGATTTACCAGCACATTATTTACCACAGATTTACCAGTGGATTTACCAGTGGATTTAGGACCAGCGAATTTCCTAATGGAATTATTAGCGAGTGACAACAGATATTAAATCAGGGCTGTTAATCAACATCTACTAACAGCCCGCATGATGATACTGTGACAAATCTCTAGCAGGCTATAACAGCAGGGGGTTTCTCTAAAGGGATGCAGAGCCAGGGGGTCGATACGGAATTTTAAAAGCAAAGATCGAGTACACTTTCCTGCTTATTGCTATACTGAGCTGCTAGAGCTGTTATTAAACCGCCATTGCGCACCTACGGTAGACGCCTAATAGATGTCTAGAAAGCATGAAGTAAGATTAGTATTGATGAAAAATTATGCCATTCTGTCAAGTGACGTAGCCATGGTAACTGGTCCACTGTGTTTGTGTGTAAGGGATCAGACAAACTTGCTGGAAATTCGAATTATGTATCTGGCAAGTTTCGTGTGCGGTCTGGACATTGAATCTGTTAGCATTCATGAAGAAAGTGCATGTTGTGCATGCACTGAAACATTCTATGTATTTTTTTAAATTTGTGAATCCTGCTTTTTCAGGCCTGCTGACCAATGCTGTCCAGTATTGCAAAACACCTATATACAACTTAGGTAAACTGAAAGCTGAGAGGGTCTATGTATCCCAGGGTACTGCCAGAACGTACCCTGGGTATGGTCCGGTATACCGGAACGTACCCTGGTACTATCTAATATGCCGGACCGTACCTCGCCTACTCCACTAACGAGTCTAGGGAGTCGCCTACGCCTACTCCCTAACCCTAACCATATCAGATAGTTACCTCAGGTACATATATGTCACCTACGCCTACGCCTACTCCCTAACCCTAACCATATCAGATAGTTACCAGGGTTCGATCGTTCCGATATATCGAACCGTACCCAGGGTACCCTCCGATAGTACCCTGGGGGACATAGACCCTATGAGCGTAACTGACACAAAATGGACGGCAGAGATCTTCCTTCTGTTACTTTACTCACACTCACACTTGCCCTCTAATGTATGCACAATGACAAATACAAAATGATGCATGAAGAATGCAAGATGTCTAGATGCACTCTCCCACATCACCGCCCTTCACACTAACAGTAAAAACAACAGCAGCTGGGAATTTGTAACCGATCACGAACTGCGACTTAAGAAGGCGACACACGTTTGAAGAACCACTAAATACTTTTAAGTTGCAGTGACATTAAGCTAACAGCTGCCATAGGCATATAAGCAACTTCACTCCCCATGAACACGGGCACAGTTAATAACGATGTGGGCTTAAATCACTTACACAAGACCTATAGCCAGACGAATAGTGTACTTGGTAAATATGTACGACACTGCACGTCACAACACACATTTCTGTGCATGGCTCTCCGCGTAAGCATCCCAACAGACAGTCCGCTGCGCAATTTGTGTAACATCACCAGAAGCTATACTCGTCAATCCTCTCGTGGTATGATCCCATTATGTGTACTGTACACGGGGAAAAGAAAGTAAGGATGGCTATAGCATCACTACGCGTCACAGACTTCACTGATCAATGTTGGCTTCAGATGGCCACTCTTGGATTCTATGTCTTTCATACTCAATCCGAACAACACTAGCCTAGAAAAATCACACATCTCACTAAAATTCAAAGGTCTTCCACTCTTCGCATCCACCCATAAAATCATGCACAGTGTTGCACACACATCTAGATATAAGCATTAGCTGAAGTCTGGATAAAACAGCCGTATAGGCTGTCATACAGTTTTGCACGTTTAAACCGACCATAATTACCATATCATATGCACAGATGCTCCAGAATCATAAAATCCTTAGCAGAGACTAGTTTTTAGCCACACATAGAGCAAGCTTCCTTAGTAGTTTTAATTACCGTCGGTGACAAGACAAGATTACCAAAACTTTCATCTGTGTGTCTCTCTTACTAACAACTATGACAGCTCATAAACTGCAAGGTGTAACTTGTTTATAATTACCCTTCTGGGTCATAACTGATGACTACCCATAGGCCTTACTGCTGAAATGTCGCATACCTGTGAAGCCTGGTTGTAATACACGCAGAAATTTTTTAAAATAATATTTTGACAATTTCACAATTCTCATTTTATTATTCATAATTTCCCAAGTCAATAAATTTCAGCAAGTTTATAAAAGTTACAAAACAACCCATGTTTGGATATAAATAGAGCACCTCAAATGTCAAAATTAAGAAATGTCACTTAGCATAAGGGGGCAGTGGACTTGGGGATTTCATATTCTGCAAGTATAGTTGCAGGCTATGGCCATACAGCTCATAGCCTCATAGGTGTAAACATTTTCTTCATCTCATTATTCAAAAATAAAATTATGCAATTATGAATCATGTAGATTGAGCTCCTAAACAGCCAATGTCACCCAGCACTAAGTGTCCTTTACAGAATTAGCTTAAAAAATAAGTCTCATACTGCACGTAAATACACTACTCTCAACGTTTTTGCATCACAACCAGCTGCAAAATATAATTGCAAATAATATAGGTGTGCAAGATACTTGTGAAGAACAAGCATACAAGATGGGTTATATATATACAAATGTTCTAGTGGTCCGGAGTGTAATTTGGTCTGCAAAATATTGTACTATGCTATATATTTTAAGGGGTTTCTAGTAGATGCACAGATGAAGGCATGAGAACCTCACAAAGATTACAGAACATTTGAGACTTTGAGGTTAAAAATGGTGAGGTAACATGCTAGCTGTGAAAACAATTTTGTTGCAATTTTGGCCTTTAAAGAAATTACTCTATCTTTATGAGAAAATATATTCCTGAACAATATGCAGAGATTTTAAGATTTTGTTCAACTTTGAATGAACATATATAATAACATCAATAAACTCTGTTCACACAAACCTAGCTGGAACAGTGCAGCATACACAAATGTATGGATAGGCTGTTTGCCGTGCGCCTAATCATAGTTACAACTGTCATTGCTATATTTTATAGATTCATATATACCAATAATCGCCAATAATACTTTTTAAATATAACACTTCCTATTCCAGTGTTCGTGTAAAAGATTTGATGTTATCTAGCTTGTGATATAAAAATGAATGTAAGTCTTGGGTGCCATATACTACCATATGGTTCTACTGAAATTATTGGTAGGTGGCTTTACCATATTTCTGCAAGCTAGTCGCACAGAACAGCATAATCGTTATAGGTTTGCAAATACGTGATTCTCACACGTACAATCACCATCCTGTAAGTAGGGTACAATAGAATATCAGAAGTTACCTAATAGGTAAATTATGAGAATCAGCAACTTATAAGGGCATACTATTATACTAAGGCTCGAGTCAGATCAGTTCATGGCGAAACATATCAAAAACGTAAACAAAAGAATATGGCCCAAAAGCAAAACACTGAATGGCTGGACTTAGCACTAGCAGTGCACATGTATGCAGTCACTGGCACACAGGTTGCATTGCACGGCAACTACTCACACAAAACTGCAAACTGGCTCAGGACTACATTAGGACCCCAGTACATACGTTATCATTAACCTTAGCTATAACTATAATACAATCTGATACATTGCTGGTGGTGATAACAACGATATGATGCACTGGGGTTCAAAAGTATAGTCTAGAGCCAACTCATACGAACTCTTCTGACATTTCCACGCCAGATTGCAGTGGCAATTAACTACAGACGGGTAGAGACTATACATTAGCACCCTACCTGATTAACCGTAGTGACACTTAGATTATATATATACTATAGTAAACACTTACCCGAGCGGATGGGATATCTTCCTGTCAAAAATGCAGCTCTGCTTGGAGAACATACAGAACTGGCAGCAAGATGATGTGTGAATTTGACACCCTTGGTCGCAATACTGTCTATGTTAGGAGTTCTTATCGTATCATTACCAGTCATGCCGACGTCGCCATAGCCAAGGTCATCAGCCATCATAATAATAATGTTAGGTCGCTTTGTATGACTAGTAGTAGTAGTAGTACTATACGTAGAAGCACTAATAATATGTTCCGACGGATTAGGATGAGCCACATTGACTTCGCCACAGACCAGGCTCAACAGCAGAACAGAGATCAAAATCAACTCAGGCCACATGATTGCACTGAACTATTAGGCTACCGTAGACAGCGACAGAGAGATAAATCGGGTTGAATAGACAGAAAAGGTCATAATAGAAGAAGAAACCTAACAGAACAACTCACACACAACACAACACGTTTCACGCCGGTTACGCGCGAGCCTCGTTCTCAGTTCTCACTTCTCATCCGCTTCTGGGACCCGGCAGGGCGGTTGTGATCATGACGGCATCCCGACTATGTACACCAAATTATACCAGAACCCAAAAGATCATCGTTCCTACAAATTCCCAGTAAGTTTCTATTGATGCGGAGACTAGCAATAGGCTAATCCTTTCACATAAATATTTTGAATTTTTATTGTGTAAAGACTCCCATGACTGAGTGTCTTTCGTCGAGCTGCGATCGAGCCCCCCTCCAGTTGCAACATCAAAGCGATTGCGGCACCAATCAAAGCGGATGCGGTTCTTTGCAATTTATATTCACGTGTTTAGACACACCAAATTTCCACGATAAACATTCGCCACAAGGTCACGTTGAACAACATATCCGAGTTATATAAATATATGTGTGGCCATACTATAATTCATTCCATTTTCTGCGAAAAATTACGCATTGATTTCCTATAGTATATGGAAATCGCGAAGGACGAATTACGCGAACACGCACATGTATGCCATCAAGGAGGGGGGGTAAGGTGGGGTACTGTTCACAGTTCACAGTGAAAATAAACTGCTTTTCACATTTCACAGTGAAAATAATGCTCTTTTCACATTTCACAGTGAAAATAATGCTCTTTTCACAGATCACGGGGATAATCCAGTTTACAGCTAAAATTTCAGACTCATAAGATAAGGTCATAGAAGTATACAAGTGTATTTATTGACTAACAACACTTCTAAAAATCAAAAATACGCTTGCGCAGTAGTCATGTTTATATAAATACATGTGTGTGTGTGCGTGTGCGTGTGTGCGTGTGTGTGCAGGGGCGTGTACAGGATTTGAACCAGGGGTGGTCTAACCGTAACCCAAACTTGCGAGCACGCGAAGGGGGGGGGTCTGGGGGGCCCTACCCCAGAAATTTTTTGAAATTAGACTCCCTTCAATGCGTTTTCTGCGCGAGCAAGGTGGGGTCGGACCCATCTGGACCCCCCCCCCCCGTACACGCTCCTGGGTTGTGTGCTGTGTGTTGTGTGTGTGTGTATGTGTCGGTGTGTGTGTGTGTGGTGTGTGGTGTGTGTGGGTGTGTGTGTGCTGTGTGTGTGTGTGGTATTATATATAATATCTTCCATAATGTTCTTCTGCAGTTGCGGGGGGCCGCGGGCATGCCCCCCGGGAATTTTTTTAAAATCTAGCGTTAATATTTTGGTGCATTCTGGTGAATTTTGAGGCCTGTGACCGGTTTCTGGAAACCGATGCAAACCGGCCTAAATCCGCGCCTGACATGCATGGATTCACGAGGAAAAAGACCTCTTATTCACAGTTCACAGACTAAATAAAAGCTAAATCACGCTTCACGCAAGGTGGTCCATTCAGAGTTCACAGACAAAATAAATTGCAATTCACAGTTCACGAGGTATAAAAACGGCCGATCACGTTTCACGAAAATACCCTTACGGTAGGGGCACACGAGCGATTTACCCACCCTGCCTATTTACCCACCCTGCCGATTTACCCACCCTGCCACCCACCCACCCTGCCTGTTACCCACCCTACAATTACCCACCCTGCCTGTTGTGTAAACCAAGGATCGAGCTGAATATATTCATCATTGACTTCTTTGTGTAAATAAACGACCTAGCTCCTATGGGGGAAATGAAACCATGATAGAGAAACAATGACGCAGTACGATTGTTTCGTAAACAATGTACATAGCCATCGAGAACGTGAGGTATTTCTTGGTACGGAAACTACTGCATCATTTTATATTATTGTAACAGATTAAACATATATATATATATATGAAACGGGATATTATATAATTATTGGAATCGATCCACTCACACAGACGGCTTTGGAAACATGCGTGTCCATCAGAATTTATTTTTCTATGCAGCCGCGTGCGTGGCGCTTCTAAAGTTTGGAAAAGGAGCTGTATCAGAGTAAGTTTTGTAAATCATACTCATAGAGCTAGGCCTAACGGATTTTATATTATAATTGTCATTGTGCATCATGCTGCTCACAACTGTAACCTAGTTATAAGCCCTACCCTTTTTAATAAAAATATATTTCTGATACGATATAGCGCAAAAACCGGGCGCGTATAGCCATGCACACTCCATATCTGTTTTGACAGCTCGGTCAGCTCGATCGCTATGCACGTTTAAACTTAGCAACATCATCCCATTTAGCCCGTAAACTATAGAGTAGGCTATATAGCCGACCTAGCAATGCATAAAGATTGTCAAATTTCAAAAATCATACTGACTTTCATTCATTCATCACTATTCTAGGGATAAATTGGCGGCTCAGATGTTTCAAGACATGCTGCGCAAATATGAAAATGAGAATAACATCGACGAAGACAGCGAGAAGTTTATTGAAAATGATATATATGAACCCGCAAAGAACACTGGGAGATTTAGTGATAATCAAGCCAAATATGAAGATGGATTTGCTCTTGAAAACAACTATGAAGACGATATTTATGTAGGACCCAAAGACAAACTTTACGATGACAATACTTCTGAACCACCTGAAGACACCCTTTCAGGTTATAATCAAGCTGAGTATGAAGAAAACGATTATGATAATCCGGCTGAATACGAAGAAAACATTTATGACGATAACGCATCGAAACGTGAAGACTTTGACAACACCAATGAGTATGAGCCAGACAGTATGGGCACGGATTTCCAAGTTGAATACGATATAGGCGACCCAGACTTTTGAAGGAAGAGACTGTTAGAGGGAGTAGTAGGTCTGGTCTCGGCAATATGGATTGCGAAGGGAAAGAAAATATATAGAAGCATAGCTGGGACATGTCTCTCGATAGTAAAAAGTAATATGTGACATGTCAGAGAAATTGATGATCATATGAGACGATACACTGGTGTTGGTTGTGTGTAAATGTAAGGGTAATTCTGGCAATAAGAATTTATTCCCAAGAAATTTGAACTTGAAAAATGACACATTTTTTTTTACCTGTGTAGGCCACGTAAAAATATAGTCACCTTAAGATTGTTTTATTTCAAATGTATTTATTGTATTTATTTTCATGTTACTGGTAAATAAATTTAAGTACGTAATGTATTAATTGCATAATTTTCATCCTACATACTGAAAAGTTTGTACAAATTAAGATTACTTTTGTCACATAGTGCATTCAATATGCGAGAATATTTATGAAAGGAAAATGTTTCAATGAAGTTGAAAATACATAACATTTCTTATATATTCAAAGTATATTGTAATAATCACATTTTCTAATATGTAAGATGAACCCAACACTTTCTTTTTTTAGTCACATATTGCTATTGTCTATTTTCTACTACCAAAGTTCTGTTGCAAATACAAAATACCACGCCCACCATATGAAAAACGCAGAGGTATCCTATTATCGACAGTAAAAAGTTTACAACAGCAATAACTATAACGACAAGCCTACATACTCACTTAGAAACTCTTACGGCTTTATACACTAAGAACAGTTTCACGTCACTGATTTCAGCTAGCAGCTGGTTATGGTAATATCAGCAACCAACAAACGAGTCATTATTTTGAAATACGCAGAAGAAAAGCATTCCAAATAAAGACTAAATCTGCCATGTTACCATGCCTAGATACAGATTCAAATTCATGCTTGTATGAGGCCACAACATATATAGATCATACTTACCAAACGTTGGCAATTGGACAATTATCAATAGAAAATCGAAACGTGAAATCTCAACAATGGAAAAAAGTCAATCCTGAGTAAGCTATATAATTCTATTTACAATTAACTGAACTAGGATCACTGTAGTAGCTAGATGTACATCATTCTGATCTAAAACCTTACATTCTTTATCTACCAAAGAACCAGTGAGAACATCAACACCATAAATTTGTGCGTAGTGCATAAGTACTGAACACACAACTTTTTCCAAACTACATGTGATTTTAGCTTATCTCTTCAATGCTAACATATCCAACTGAGTTACACTCATTTAATACTTCCAAGACAGAACATGGTAAGCTGGTTGCTAACTGGTACATTACAACATCAGGGCACATCCAGCATAACAACGCTTACAGTAAAGAGATACCTTCATGGAATCAGTACGTTGCGTTCCTTATCATTTCGGCCAACAGGTGGCACCACATAAGCAGCCTCATACCACCACTGGCAAAGTGTGACCACTTTGGATTGAAGTCTTCACCTGCATTATGCCCACTACAGGGACTTAGCATTGCTAGTCGCAAGATCGTGTTTCTTATTATTTCTGCCAACATGTGACACCACGCACGTAGCCTGGCAGTCACTGGCAGCAAGCAGCAGGTTATCGCTTCAGATGGGATTATTCACCTGCATTGCACTCTCAGTGTCCATTGCCAGCAGCGCCTGAACAGTCTCTAGTGGGATATTCTGCCCTTCCTCCTGGAACTGGTCGTCGGCTTGCAGCAGCACAAGTCCGTCAGGCGTCTGCGCGTACCGTTGCCCGTTCTCGTCCTGCAGGATGTGACCAATCACCTGACCGTTGTGGTCAAGCAGCTGACCATCCTCCGTCTGGTACTGGATGCTGCTCGCATCAACTGTCGTATGTTGGTCGTCGCCCGCCCCGACGATCGCGGTACCTTCATCCATTGGCTCGCCCTCAGCCTCGTACACGGCGTCTTGAGGCTCAAGCTTGAGGCCCGTTTCGTCCTCGGTCTCGGCCGCCTCCTCTGACGACTCGATGAGGAACAGCTGGCCATTGTGCATGACGAGACGCTGTGTTGGTGCCGCCGGCGCTGCAAGCTCACCACTCGGCACGGCAATCGCCGCTGGCTCGTCCGCGACGGCAGGGGGCGCCACGTCTGCATCGTTCGCCACCGCCACTGACATTTCACTATCTGCAACGCCGCTCATGTCCGCCTGCGGGAATTCAGAGATGTTCATCAAATTGTTCGACAGCGTGACGGTGGTTGTGGCGAGCGCTGTAGTGGAAGAGGCGCCAGCGGGTATGGCAGGGGAGGCGGCCGTCACCAACTTGGCAGCTGGTGCCACATTCGGTTTTAGCAGACTTATCTGCGGCTTGAGAAGGCTCATCTGCGGACGCTGCACGACGACGTTTGGCCGTTTATTTGATATCACCCCGATCACCTCTGGCGGCTGAGCGGGGGTCTCCACAAGGGCCACCTCAGTTGCATCACCCGTTCCGTTGAGCGTCAGCAATGGCATGTCCTTAGGTGTCCTTTCTTTTTCTGGAAGCAGCACCTCTACTGGCTGTTTTTCCGGGCTAGGTGCCTGCCACGGTTCCTCGTTTGTGTCAGTCGCCATCTTGTATTCGAACAGAGGAGCATCCTTTTTCACTACATAGGCATCACCTTCCAGTGAAAGAGATTTACCCAAGTCCTTGTCCTCAATCTGCAATGCGTCAAATTACGTTATTTTTCAATGGATTTTATGTTATACTCACACATTACTCTACGCTACCAATCATGCATCAAAAATCTGACAGGCACTGGTAACATCCTCTTTCCACTGCTAGCTTCCTGCTGCACACCCACTACCCCTGCCATTGAATGGTTATTATGTTTGTACTACACTTTCAACATTCAACACCCTCTAGCAACCATATAGAAAGGCACGACTTGACAAATTACGCTGCCAGCTTTTATCAACTGCTCGCTTCTGTGGCCGTGCAAACACACACCCACACACGTAAACAGTCATTCACACACACACACTCACACACACACCCAAACATGCAAACACTCATCCACACACGCACGCGCACACACACACACGCACGCACACACCGAAGCCCCCCTTCCTAGTTTGCTACCTTTACAACAGAGGACAGGTCGACCTCGGTGCCGGGGCTCGCCTCTTCGAGTGACTTCTCTGCAAGCTTCTTCAGCTGCTTTTGAAGCGTCTCAAACTCTCTGAAGATGACGGCGACGGATGGCTGCTCGACGTCTCCGCTCTCTGCCTTCATGAGGAGGAACTCGTACAGCGTGACGGCCTTGGTCAGCCGTGGCAGCACGACTTCCATCACCTCCTCATCACTACAAGGCTGCACCATCTGCAACAGCGAGGCAGTGCGTAAATAAACGTACAGGTGCACGCGGGATCAAAACAGATTACCAGCAGCCACTGTGGCCCGTGGCTGCACAGCTAATACTATCAGACATCGAGCAGATCGGCATTCCTAGCCAATGTTGATTTTTAGACGTTTCTAGAAAACGAGAGATTTTCGCTGTATGTACAAAATTAGAGATCCACGCACGAGTTTAGCCAGGAAATTGGCGGCCATGCGGGCGAGTTGAACAATGGTGAACTTCATCGGAGCTGCTTGGAGACAGAAACCCTGTGTCTCTCCCTAGCAATGTACATCACTACTCATTGTTAGTAAACAATGAATTGCATTGTGATTTAGTTGTGATTGTGTATGATACCCTGGTTCAATGACTGGATGCTTCTAAAGGGGTGGACACACTAGGCGATTTTTCATGCAATTGAGCCGCCCGGCTGAGTCGGCCAGCTGAAATCGCCTAGTGTGTCCAGTGAGTCGCGGTCGATTTTCGAGTCGGCCGGCTGAGTCGCCCGAATCAAACACGTTTGATAAAATCGGGCAATTATTTGAGTCGCGCGACTATATACTATATACAATGCATGCTCGAACAATGCAATACTATATATACAATGCTCGTTTATGCGCGCCCGAATGTACAATTCATCAGCCAATCAAATGGTGCCATTTTCAATCATGTGACTATCAGTCTAGGTCAACTCGCTGACAAATCGCGCTGAAATTCGCCTAGTGTGTCCGCTAGAGTTAGTCGACCGAATCAGCCGGGCGGCTCAACCGCATGAAAAATCTGCTAGTGTTACCACAGCTTAATGCATTCAAGTTAAGCTGTGCATGCATTCTAACCATAAACACATGTGAGCACCCCAATCTTGAGGAGATGCACTTACTTCTTTGAGTCGGTTCTTCCTGCGAATGGAGGCAATGTCCTTGCTAGGTCGACCTCGTTTGGCAGGCTGGAAGGATGAATCTACGGACAGGTTGGATGCCTCTGAATGATCCAGTACACTGCTGTTCGGCTGGGCCTCTTCTACAGCAATAAAAGACGATCAGCTTACATAATGCTAACATGAATACTATATAAATTGTCAAGAGTAGATAATAACAAAGAGTGAGACACCCGATTACCGCATTTCTAACCGATATTTCTCATCAAAATTTGCCACCAATAAAGAAGCAAGTGTATACGTTCCTCAGCTTATCATGACCACTAATCACTCACGTTCGTGGTACTGATATTCGTTTACATATATTTGCTAGCGTATTGCTGTAAATCGTAATCTTGCACGAGCTGAATTCGCACAATTTACCGCTAAAATGGTTTTTTTTCCCTTTTTTTTAATGGGAATGGTTACATGAGGAACAGGCTGAGTGAGTCAGCTTTGAAGGCGCTGCTGCTACTGGCCACCTCGGCAAGAATTCCCATTCGACCCACTGGCAGCAAGAACAAGTCCGCACCTGCAGCTACAGCACACACGCATCTATTGACTATATATAACAACGTTATATATAGTTCGTTAGAGTAGGGATATAGTTGTTAAGTAGTTATATGGTGCTAATGCTAAGTTGTTATAGTAGTTATATACAGTGCTCGAAATAAGAAAAAAAATGTGGGTTGTCCTGCGGACGAACCCCTGCCATCAAATCGGGTTGTCCGCAACAATTTCTGCGTTGTCCCAAAAAATATCCCCAATCTCCTATTTTTCAATCACATAATAATATGATCAGAAAACACCCAAAAACAGTGGCGTAGCCAGGATTTTTTAACAAGGGGGACCAAAACAGCGAACTGCGCAAAATAGTGGATGACTAATATTTTACTGGCTCCTCTGCCTCCCTCTCCACACCCTACTGGCTCCTCTACCTCTCAGCTCTGCAATCCATGCGAAAGGCGACATTTTTGTTCATTGTTCCTGGCTCCCAAGATATGTAATTGTTCAGCTGGCGGGTTTAGGATTCCAAGGAGGGAGGAGTGAAAAAAAGGCATAGGGGGGTGGGTATGGGGGTCCTTCCCCAGAAAATTTTTAGAAACTTGCTGGTTTGCTGGTTCCAAATCCGAGTTCACCTCTCATAAATCAGAAACCTGACATATACCAGTGTTGGAAATAGCAGCTGGTCCCATATTTTTATATATTCACTGAAATTTAATTCACGATTAAAATTTCTTGATGAGCTAGAAAACACTCGATTTGGAAGTATGAAAAGTACATTATTGTGCCAGCTAGCCTACACCAGTTTGGTTGGGATTGATTGTCAGTTCAGATTGGCAAAATATTGAAAGCAAAGAAAGGTTATACACCATAGATTAATTGGGTACACGCGGATATATAAGATAGCCGAGTCGGTTTAGAGTTGGTGTTAGGGTTAGGGATAGTGTTTCTTGGTTGTCCACCGGACAATGTCTCAGACTGTTTAGGTTGTCGCGGCGCAATTCTGGTTGTCTCGGAACAACGGACAACGCTATTCGGAGCCACTGATTACTAACTATATATAATGATGTGTTATATATAGTCAATAGAGTACCAAAAGTGTGACGTCACAGTGTCATGACAACGAACCACTGGTTCTACACAACCACTGGCTCCATAACATTAACTGCGTGAAAATGTTGTACGTACGTAAAACACGAGTGTGTGCGCTGCAGACAGCGGTAAAGCATCGGTAGCAGTCGATCTTACAATATTTAATTAATTATTTTTTTTATTTTTTAATTATTTTTTTAATTATTTTTTTTTTTTTTTTCATTGCTTTTCACTTCCATCCTTTGTAAATCTATAAAAATTGCAATAATTTACTCTCAGAATGATAGTTACAATCGGCTACAAAACACGACACGCAGTTAATGTTACCAGAGCATATGATTGTGTAGAACCAGTGGGCTCGTTGTCATGCCACCGTGACGTCATCACTTCGGAGCTCTATAGATGCGTGTGTGTTGTAGCTGCAGGTGCGGACTTGTTCTTGCTGCCAGTGATTCGACCAGGCCCCCGGACCCCCCTAGTTTCCCCTCCCCTCCCTGTTTCAATTTCATCCTGGGGAGAACCCTGATGTACAAGCTAAAAATTAGGAAATGGTAAGATGAAATTTATATAAGTGTCACCACCTCCCCAGCCATGCCCCTCCTCCTTTATTCTGCTGATCTCCCACTGTGCTGCCTCCGCCACCTTTGCCCCCCCCCCCTGTTCACACCACCTCCACCACCTTTGCCCCCCCCACCTATTCACCCCACCTCCACCACCTTTGCCCTCTCCCATGTTCCCACCATCTCCACCATCACTTTCTCCCTGTCACAGCCATTCTCCCCATCCATTCCACTCATCTCCTCTGCCTGTTATTCTGCTCATCCCTGTGTATGTGAACCAACAGGTGCATATAGGGTAAGACCACCAAGAATCTAACCTAAAGAGAACACATACAAAACTTGTTTATATACAGGTAACGATAGCATAAACGTCAGAAATGACTGTCATCATTGAAGTACGTTACCATTTTCATTTTCTTCTGGAGGCAAAGTTCCATGATCTGGGTTTAGCCTGTAGTGCCTTCCCAAGCCACCACGCCCTATATAAGCCTTATCACATGTTTGACACTGATGTCTTCGTGACTTGTTTGTAGTTAGTCCTGAATGTGATAAGAACCATATATTAAACATATTCGATGCGTGCTCACAAGAAGTGCCAATTTACAGTTTTTACATGGACTACAATATGAATCCTCTAAGAATATTTCTTTAGAAATTCGCATTTCTTATGTTGGCATCATCTTCCTTTATTATTACACTTTAGTCTGAAAATATTTGGCAAATATAGAGATTGACCATTTCTGAACGAATAAGCTTTGATTTGATCGTGTATCATTTTTCACAAACAGGACTAAAACAGTACATACCTGAAGGAAAGTATGGTTCTTTTGATCCTTCCTTACGCCTCTTTTGGACTTCTTCGTCACTCAAATCAAAGTCAGAGAATCCTTGATCCGAATCGTCATAGACTTCTGAATCTAGGTCCACAGTGTGAATACGTTTGAAGTCCTTTACCTGCTCAGCATTAAAAAAGTCAATCTAGTTATTAAAATGAATTATTAACAATGAGGAAGGATACGTAATTTATTGACGCTTCTTACAAATGCAAGAAGCCTCACCCAGTTACTGTTACTACATTGGAATGCTATGCAGATGAAAACTTCTTTATAAAATTACCATGTGCAACGGTGGCCGGCTGATGCGGCCAGACCGGGTCCGCGGGCACTTGCGCTTTTTCTCATCTTTCTCTGCTTTAGTCAACTCCACCCCTTCAGATTTGTCTCCATCATCTTCATCATCGGTCTTCTTTGGTTGCTTAGGCGGTCGACCCCTTTTGCGCTTGCCGGGAACTGGCATCTGTGTGCTGGAATCATCTCCTGTTTTCACGCCAATCTTCTCCTTAGTGTTTGTATGCATTTCTGATGGGTAGATGACCTTATAGACAATGCGGGTGTTGGTCTGTGGGTTATAAAGAATACTGCTGCTGCCAGCTTTTGTTGCAGATTGCACAAGGTGTTGCTGTTGCAGAACCTGTGCTATTTGTTGCAGCTGCTCGGCCGACAACACTTGAGTGGATGTGTATGTGTTGCCATGCTGTATGATCTGAATCGGATTTTTTGCAGAGCCTACAATAGCAGTGGGATCACTCTCCTTTGGAGGGCCAACCTCTTCTGTTTGCCACGTTGAGTTATTGCTAATAACGACGGCTGACGATTCGAGATCTCCGACTTCAGCCGTGCTAGTGTCTGGCTGTTCTACTTCCGTTTCTGGCTCCGCTGGAGTCGTGCTAGTAATGGCATCTGTTGTCATTGTGCTCGTTGTTGTAACCTGGTCAATGCTGGTATATTGTATGCTACCTATATCACTCTCTTCCTGTATGCTGTCGGCGTCCTGTGGTGTATTATTTTCTTCCAGTTCTCCACTTTTCGAATACTCAACATTGACAGCAGGTTCGATTTCATCTTGATCAAAACCTGATGCTTCTTGCAAAGCTTGCTGAAGGAGATCAGCATTAACATCCACTTGCTCTATGTTTGTCGTATTTATTGTGTTAGTAGCATCGGTCACAACTATGGTCCCAGCTGCTTCATTTTCTGATGTTATTAATCCACTCATGTTGTCAAGCACGAGCACTTGTTGATATTCTTGGTCCGCCATATTTGATTTTTGATGAACAACAAAACGCCTGCTTGGACGTCACTTTTTTTCCTAAAAGGGCTGCTGTTCCTGTTCTAACTGACATATAAATGTTCCAGTTGCACTTACGAGTAATAATATAGCAATCCACTGTTAAAACCACGTCATTTTGTGTGTAAAAGATCACGAATTGTGCAAAAACGGTTTATCATTTGTAAGCGGAAAAAGTACTGGGAGAGCGACATCTAGTGGACACAAAATAAACCTCAACTAAAGTCACGGCATATATGGTAGTGAATTTTATCTATATTTATGGAAATATTTTTAAAAATACATATATAATCAATGTATAGGCTAATTGAACTTTCATTAAAAAATATTAAGCAACTATTACGCAAAACAAATTAACTGCACATATCAATGCTAGGAGACATCTATCATATTGAAAGTTGTACATACACGAATCCTTCGATAGCTCAGTTGGTAGAGCGGAGGACTGTAGTGGAAGTTTCAGTAATCCTTAGGTCGCTGGTTCAAATCCGGCTCGAAGGAGATGTTCTCTTTTTCTTTTTTACTTTTGATTTACATGTTCCCACAATCTTACAAATATATACAGAGGTTGAACATTAGTCCATATAAAAATATTGTAATTTATATTTATTGAGGACACTATGCACACTGCCTATCTAGTATATATTACTTCCATGGTTATAACCTAATAATATAGATACTCTATCTGGCCGGGTGGTGGGCCGGGTACAGGGGGACGGGGGTACGGGAGAAGTGGGGACGGGAGACGGAAAAGGAGGGGGCGGGGAGCGGGAGGTGAAGGAGCCCAGTGGTAGGGAGGCCAGTGGCGGGAGGATTTTCATCCGAGAGAGAGAGAGAGAGAGAGAGAGAGAGAGAGAGAGAGAGAGAGAGAGAGAGAGAGAGAGAGAGAGAGAGAGAGAGAGAGAGAGAGAGAGAGAGAGAGAGAGAGAGAGAGAGAGAGAGAGAGAGAGAGAGAGAGAGGGAGAGAGAGAGAGAGAGAGAGAGAGAGAGAGAGAGAGAGAGAGAGAGAGAGAGAGTACACTAAGTAGAGAAAAATAAAAGAAATCCATAGCACGAGAAATAAATACATGAGAAAATACACTGTACAGGATAAATACATTTATTACCCGAACTGTCAGAGAAACTAAGTGACATTCAAAAAAGAAAATGCAAAATATAAAGGATCCTGGAGGTGTTGAGGGAGGGAGATGGGAGGACAGGGGAGGGAGGTGGTTGGAGAGGGGGAGGGAGGCGAGAGGAAGACAACACCCTGTACCCGCCTCTTCTATGCTTATAACAGAAGCGTATACACAAACAAAACAAAAACTAAATAGTAAACATAAGTTATTTATTTCCACATTTGCGTTATCCACATCATCCAGTCTTGTATGTACAAAATCGGTAAATACCCGAGTCCAATACATCGGAACTACTCCAGTGGAACATAAATTCACAAAGTGATAACCGATTTCCTTTAAAAATATCAATCACATGCGACAGATTTTTTCAAGGATGCACGTGATGCAGACATGAACGACATGGCATAGTGAAGGTCGGGAGTTAGATATAATTTTATCGTTTATATTTTTCGTTTATTTAATGAAATTAATCTGTTCAGCGCTCTCCTTACACTATACGTCATGACCGACAATTGAGAGACGACCATGCACCAGAATCATGAGTCTCCTACGACCCAGGACTCGATCATTTCTATACTTGATCGTTCAATAAAAATTAACCCATGCATGCTCTCTAGCTCAGGAGTCCTGGCTCTCATGACAGCACAACAGTTACACGCTTACACGCAGCCGTACTGGACGTAAAAATCGACAACACAAGATAAAAAAAATCATCGAGTGTCAGTGAATGTTGGAGAGGCAAGTGGGGTTACACTACTTTGTTTGCATGCAATGTGACACCTTGTACGGACAGTACGTGTCACTGACGCCGTGACCTCACGACGCAGTATTTTTGCTACACTGCGGAAGCGTAGAAAGCCCCTGAAACGCAATTAATCACTGCCTATGCTGGTCATCCTACTTACTATTTACAATGAGTTTGGCGGCGGAGTGCGAACAGAACCGGCAAGTGGTATGTTGTTGTAACATCACTAGCTGGCTGTGGTTGTATTATATAGGTGCAGCCGGTCATCAAACAGGTGACAGGTCATGGTCAAGTGGATAGTGTTCATGCGATACACTAACGGAAATGTAGGGGAACACATCAGGGTGATGTGATGGGAGGAGATGGGAGCAATAATTTACTAGGCAGTCGAGAATAGAAAAAGGTTTCTCTTATAGCAGTGATGTCTGAGATCAAGATGTGATTAAGAGAGAAGGATGCCTATTAGCAATGAATATTGTAGCATTGCAACTAAGAACAATATTGTAGTATATGACCATCATGTCCGCTGTTGTTCAAACGTAGATCAGATGGAATAAACGGGCCCAGGACTACACCATAGACTGCTTTAAATTCTTTGTAATATGGCTTTTACATACTTTTGATCATACTGACCCAGGTATTTTATGGTGAAAGAACATTTTGAATATTTTACATTGGTAGGGACATTGATAATGTAGTGACACTATGTATTTAAAAAACATACCACACTTGAACAATTTCGCTGTAAGAAATCCAAGACAAAAATATCTAAATAATGATGCCGTTTGGACAATTAACAATTCCTAAGTTTCAGTACAGCAAGGAATAAATAGTAATTTCTCTTAATATATAAAATCATCAGATACACTCCTAGTATGGCTCATTCTTTTTCATTCATAGTTGGGCTCGCATAGGCTTTAAGACAGTACAAATTATCATGGGAAAAATAAAGTGAACCTTAAGTGAAATTAATTTGAATAACCGACATCACTCCCATTCTTGCATTCATGCACACTCTACATGCTCTAGTTCTCTGCAAACAATTTCACCATGTATGCAGTTATTGCAGTACAATATGAAAGTACAGTTCATTAAATCGTATTCTACAACTCATTAAAACCAAGGAACTGACTTTGAAATATGTAGTATACAACAGTTACAGAGATTTCTGCATGCAAATGTCATCGACTTATTCCAAAATATATATATATATATATATATGTGCCCTTAGCTAAATCATTGTCTTAATTTTTGAGTTTTTTGAAACAAGAATAATCAGATACTATCAGTGATCTAAGAAAGTAGGAAGAAATACCTTTTATACCTAGGATTCTGTTGGAAAATACGTCAACAAAGAACACAATTATATCACGATTGCATGATTGATATGCAATACTTGATTTTATCGATATCATGTTTATCATTCCAGTTTTTCTGGCAAAAAAGGCCAGGTCTGAAGGATTTTCCAATGTATCAAAACGATTGAAAGATATTTAATCAAGACATTCACTTACATTGAGTGTGACATTTCTCAAATATTAATGTGGCATACAAAACTATTTCAGTCTGCCATATGCACCATGCTGAACAGTTACTGTTCTTAAGGTACTTTAGTTAATTCTTGCCTCTGAAGTGTCTCTGTAATAGTATTGAAAAGGTACTTAAAGCAAAGATAGTGGATGGTAGCATGTTGGCTGTTGTGCGCACATGCATAATTGCAGCCACATCCAAGCAAACAACCAAAATTTGAGTGTTTCCTCTTCCATGTGAATATTTACAAGTTGTGAAGCAGGTTCCCAGTTCTGCGAGGCATGGAAGTAAACAGCATGTGGACATTGCCACAGCATTCATACATGTGTGATATTAACACAACTTGAAGCTTGACAGCGGCATGCCATCTGCCTTTCTTGCTGCACAAAACTCACGTGTTACAGCTCAGTGTCGCCAGGTGCAACGTGTTTTACACATCACCATACACACTACACAGAGAATCTCACAGTGTTCACACTCTCCAACTTGCATCGATGTGTCTCTACGTATCCTGACACATCTCGACATGTCCTCATATCAATACACTGCATATATATCCTGCACTATATTCAGGGTCGGTCAGCACTTCTAGCTCGCTACCTAAACAGCCGCGTGAAATCGCGCAGAGCGAATGAGACTTGCTTGGCGTGCTCGGCACTTGTTACTGCTTTGTGAAAGTCCACCAGCTGTTTGTGAGTGGCACGCACCACTCCACCAGACCCTTCCACAGGCAATGCTTTCAGTGCTGCCTCCAAAAATCGGCACACAGACTGAAACGAGATTCAAATATAGTTCGGTTTAGCCGATTTCTGACAGTGAGCCTGCTGTGATCAGATAGTTTGTGAGTATTTACGATCCTTATGACTCTTATCATACATTCTCCTTGCCCAGTTTTTCAGAAATTAATTTGTCTCAGAAACTTACTGAGCCAATAAGCATTGCAATAGAACTTTCTAAAAACAATGCTTAGTAATGACACACCATGAAGTCACCACTGTGGTGTGCGTCAACTGGCCTCGAAAAAAACCGAGTTAGATGACTGACCTAACAAGAGTATGGCAACTGGGACAATATTGTCCACGGGTGATGTTGTCATCTTGATCAGGGGATAGGTCGGTTATTGCTAGCATGCGAGCATGCACGTGCATACGTACCGGACGGTCAATGAGCATGATCGCGTAGACAACGTCTGCGATGTCCGGCATCATGAATGACGGCAGACAGAAGATAACAGCTGTGAGCAAGTTCTGCAGCATCTGCGGCCCATACTCCTGCATGATGGCTTCAGCCGCCTGCTTCCGCTGCGCATGGTCTGGGTACTTATCCTGCACAAAATATGTAGAGTCAACTTTCTCTCTCCACCCAAATTCGCTACCATAGCAGTGGAAAATGAAAACAAGCACAATAGTATGTTGTAACTACTGTACTCGGCATGAACATTGGCAACGCGAGGTGCTATCTGCACCTGGTGTTAATAAATGTGCCAGTAAACATCGTACCTCATTCACCATGCCAATTTTAAGGAGGTCCTGTAAGAACTTCATCACAGAGGCATTGGCGTCACGATGGTCCACCATGCATGCGGCCATCCCACAATTGATGATGCTCTTGAAGAATGAAGCTTGTATGAACATCAGTGGCATTCGCTGCACAAATCTGCCAAAAAATGTGAACCAGCATTGACTACAGCTACTCAGATGTTAACAGTAAAAAGGAATCTCCAAATATACCCTACTTGCCTTTTACATTAGGAAATGCTATTTATTATATGAGGAACAACAGTTACTATAAATCACTGCTGAAACTGATAGGTATATAGATGCCCATTTAGCACAATTTGAGCTTGCAGATAATCAGCTTTTATTTTAGACAAATGCAAGCCCAAAAAAATATGGTGCTTTCATAAAGAACCACAACAAACAGGTAAAACGGGCAGATCACTTCTGCAATACTGTACCAAGGTTACTTAGCCAAACAAAGCTAAATACCTCGTGCAGAGTCTGAACAAGTCATCCACTGTGTCTGGGTGATTTCTGAAGCCATCTGGTTCCTCAAGCAGCTTAAATGTCGGCACTGAGAATGCCTGTGGAGAAGCCGAGACAGGAAAAGGTAAACCAAAAGTGAGTGTTTGTCTACATTGTGTGTGTGACTAAACACCACCCAGTCTGATTCCATTCAGCAAAAGGGTTCAGGTGCAAATATGCTTGTATAGCAGAGTTAAATATAACACTGGAATACCACACAAATGCATTTCTAACTATGCCATAAAACTAGGCTTAATCTAATGGAAGTAAATCGCTTTTGAAACTGCAAATGATGCATGTACAGTCAATAGTTTAAATAGGACGTTATAATAATAAAAATTATACGTCCACAAAGGCTATTTAGACAAATATTTAAAATAACAGGAAAAATCCCCTACTAAGAATGGACCCTAAAACTCAATGAACGTGCATGTCTCTAAATACATTGCAGTTTGATTGAAAGTCATAGAAAAGACGCATTTTATGTTCTCAACCATCAGTTGTCAAATGCTAACTCGGTTCATTGACACTGTCCACGTAGGCTCACACAGTACACTGGTTGGTGTATACTTTGTAAATCCAGCTTGTTGAAAGTGGAGTTCTATAATAGGCTCACCTGCAGCATGTCAAGGAGGCCTTGTTGGCAGCCCTCTTCTGAGCCAAACTCGTCTACCAGTATGGAGCCCAGGTAAAGGAAGCAGGAATGGTTGTGTACACTGTACAGTTGAACCATCTGCCAATAAATTTAAAACAGAACAATGGTGTCAGTGGCTACGTTGATGTGGAATAAACTATACCGACTTATTATGCTTTGTTCCAATGAATTGTCAAAGACAAATTCATACCAAGCAACAGTGGATTAATTTAATATCTGGCCTTTGCTAGTAATTGAGAAGATTCAGAGTTAGAGAAAGAGAGAGGAGAACTCCATGCTTGCAAACTTGCCTGCTGGACTAGAGGAGGGAGAATGGTGTCAGCTCCTTTTCCGACGCATCGCACTGAGAATCTAAAAAAAAAATGTTGCGTACAATTGATGCTGTTTATTTAGGCAGCAGAAGCTGCAGAACTGTTATCTGAGAAGTTAACTTGGCATATGCAAACAGACATGATAATTCACTATAACTGTTGATTATGATAAAGTGAGGAGTGTACCTGACACAGCGGCAGCAACGTTCCACCACTCTGATGTCGTGCTGGTACTTGTCACAGCAATCTGACAGCAGTGGCCATATTGCTTCGATGACAGGCTTACACGGGTGGACCTGCCCATCACTGACCAATGGATGCAAGTTCCTACACAGCAAAGTGAACTTTAAACCTTCCTGACAACTCGCTGTTGGGTTTAAGCCATTTAAAACTTTTAATAACCATTAATTCACTTACTTTGCAGCAAATCGAGATGTAAAATAGTGTAAAAAACCATTTTGATATTACTATAGGTAGATATATAATATATCACATTTATTCATGGACATGTATGAGAAGAAATCACTTGCGGAAATAGCAAGTACCCGAAACTCGTTCACCTGTGCCCCTTGCCCATTGTTTTATCCCTTTGAGATATGCCATCACTTTCATATTGATGGTTGCCAAGAAACACAAATGTCACAAATAAAGCTTCCACTGATTTTCATCACACATAATAATATATGTATGTGAATAGAATCCAGGTTGCCCATACCCCCTCCCCCCCCCAACTTATCCCAAGAATCACATCACAAATAGAGGCGCCACTGAATTTCATCACACATCGTAAATACTCGAATAGAATCTAGAAAGTCTATCGCCGTCTCCTCACCTGAACACTGCCGCTAGCCTGTCGAGCCAAATGACAGGGTCCAGCTTCATGTTTGTGTCGCCGGCATGCTGCAGTACTTCGTTAAGCTGATTGACCTGCACGGCGCAGATCTGCTGTGCTCCCTCTGTGATCTTCTCCAGCGGCATCTTGGAGAGTATCATCGCTGTTCCTGCAAGTGTGTACGCCTGAATGTAGCCGTGAACGGAGGCTGCTGCCCCACGTGGAACATTCACGGAAGTGTGTACGCCTGAATGTAGCCGTGAACGAAGGCTGCTGCCCCACGTGGAACATTCACGCAAGTGTGTGCAACCATGCAAAAGTGTCGTTAGGAAGAATACTTTTTTTGTTCACTATTACAAAGTGAATTTCAATGTGCCATGACTTTTGAGTCGTAGAGTTTCAGCAGCGTACATTGATTTACAATACATTGTGAGAATTTCTGGCTACTAAATACCCTGCTCAACTATAGCATGTATAGTAACAATTACCATTTAGGCTTCGTCGTAATTGCTTTGCCACCATTCAAGTTTGCACAAACCATCTGCACATATGACAATAAGACCATATCCAGTTGGCACATTTGAATTTGAATTATGGGAAAATCAAAACCACGCTCGTTACCCAAGTAAATGGCCAGCTGTCTACGTTATTACAGTCTGGTGTGCGTGGTTAGCAGCAAAATCCATGACTTGGCTTATTCTGAGTGCATGCAGGCACGTGTACGTCCCTGCACTGCTGGCCGCCTACCTTTCAGGAGATCGACTGCTGCCTCGTTGCTGATGTTGAAGCTATCAACATTCTGGATGATCTGCACAAGACCGCCGAAGTGCTGGTACATCTTATCCCGACAAATCTGACAGATCTGCAGCAACGCTGCTGCCGCTGCCGGTGCTATCTTGTGGTTATGCAGTCCGGCCAGCAGGAAGTGCAGCACGGAATCTACACACGGGAATAACGCAAGCCAACTGTATTGCTTTCATGATACCATGCTGCTCTTACTAATGCATACCCTGCACACCATTACTAAGAAGGATTTTCAGACATTTGTATTGCATTGCAGATTGGCTAGAGCTGCCTGTCTACTGTGCCAGGTAGAATTGAATAATCAAAACATTGCTATATGCACACAAGAGGCAGCTGAAGGCTAGGGTAATCTGGGTGGCTAATCAACGAATTTGAAGCAGGTCTATATACTACCATAGTGAACTTCTACCACGAGGACAGATGGAAAAGTCCAAGCGTTTGGTATACACAAGACATTACACACAATATTTAAACATCTAAACTTTATTTTTCAGCAAAAAGGTTAGCAACACGATCATTGTGCAGCGCCGTGCACCTATCAGCCCACCGCTACATAATTAATAGCACAGATACACACATTCACGCACACACGCAAACACGTATACACGAGCACATCAGTCATAGCATTCCTGGATCCACTTAATTAGAACACCCATGCACCCTAATCTCCACGAAAATTTAGATAACTATATTCTTCTGCCAACAAATGACTGTAAGTGTAAGAATACTCACCCAACACCTCATGGTGACTGTCAATCCACTCGCACAGTTCGCCAACCAGACGCGTTCCAGTGTACTTGACTGCTACATGCGAGTCCTCCGGCAGATTCAACAACGCCTGCAGCACCTGAGGCACGATCACATTCTCACTCCTAAAAACACAGAGGGTACTAGTCAATGAAACGAATTTCTGCAAGAGCACTATCTTTAACTGCCAGCAATTCTCTACCACGCTTCAACCAATTAGCAAGAGTCGTGTGAGGTAAATGTAAAGCAATAGTGAACTGAATCGGGGAAAAAAATCAAAGGCAAGTTATAGCTGTGCATACGGGCTAATATTCTTGGCAACAGCTGTCATCACAAACAGGGCGGCCTCCGTGCGATCCCACGTAGTACTGCTCGATTGAGACGCTAAGCTTTCGTACATCTAAAACGTAAAAAGATTATAATGACGCGATTACTGTAGGATGTGAATTAATACTCTAATTTTAATAATGGTACTCAGTTACTTGAGTGTGAGCTGGTTACCGACCCCATCAGCCCTCCCTACACCTAGTGACTAGCATCTCTACACTACTTATACCGGCTGTACTTCCACATGCCTCCTAATTACTAGTGAAGCCCATCTCTGCACACATGACAAGCGTTTCCTATTGCTTCTTACCTGTGTAAAACAATTGGCAGATCCCACTAGGAATATCACATCTTTGATTAGCTCAGACACCTGCACACGAAAGTGTCCAAAATCGTCACTGTCATCGGGTATGTCCTCCTGTAAAAGTATAGCGCACAAAAAGAAGTAAGTCAGCAAATCATCTTGGCCATGTCTGCACCACCTGAAATCCTTAATCTAATGACACACAAAATATAAAAAGAACAACGATCTCACCTGCAATCCCAGTGCCACTGTCTTACCTAGCTCACCCATTACCAACATTACAAACCCTTTTCCACTAGCCACATTAGCCACCTTTTCAATTAGCCAAATTACCCATCTCTACTATTACCTATATTACTTATCTCATCAATTATTCAGATTACCAGCCTGGCCCATTACCAACATTAACTACTTCTTCCATTACCCACATTAACTACTTCTTCCATTACCCACATTAACTACTTCTTCCATTACCCACATTAACTACTTCTTCCATTACCCACATTAACTACTTCTTCCATTACCCACATTATCCCCTTCTTTCATTACTCCTAGTGTTGTCAATCGGTTGTAATTTCGTAATCGATCATCGGTTGGACCCAAGTAACCGATGATCGGTTACAATCGGTTACTCGGGGTGTTGAAGGCCTGCGTGTGCGTAACGTCGTGTGCATGTACGTGTGTGCACTTATGTGCTTGTTTAGCCATGTTTACTGTTTGTTTTGCACTGTTTACTACTGTGTGTATAATACATGTACTGATTGTCATCACTTTTCCAAGTTTTCTTGTTCAAATTTAAAAAAAAAAAATTTTTTTTTTGATTAAATCGATTATGGATTTTGATAACCAAGCGCTTGGTTCGAGCCACTGTTCAACCGATGATCGAGTATAATCGATGATCGTGACATCACTAAGCGCTTGGTTCGAGCCACTGTTCAACCGATGATCGAGTATAATCGATGATCGTGACATCACTAATTACTCCCCACTTCCATCATCCACATTCCCCACTTCTTCCATTACCCACCTCCTCCATCACCCACATTACTTACCACTTACATTAACATGGGCGTTAACAAAAGAAAAAGTAGGCACTGAAAAAAATTGGGTCCGGTGGGGCGAGGCTTCCCCCTAAAGCTATGGATTCTGTGCAATATAAAACACATTTGGTGGCATTTCCTGATAAGATAAAGCACTATAATACAATAATATACAACAGGCATACATAGTCAAAATCATTAGATGCAATTCACCTTTTAAACAATTAAAAAAAAATTTTTTTTTTACAGATTACAAAAAACATTTTTTTCTCAAAATTTCCTCCAGACGGTAATCCATCTACAGACGACAGATGCAAGCTCCACAACAGATGGTGCTCTCACTCTGGCTCAATCTACCACTGCCACAAGTAGATTTCCGTTAGAATTTCTTACGCTTTTTTACTATGTTTTACAGTGGCAAGGTTACTTGTGTCCTATTTAATAAGATGCAAAAATAATATCAATCGGACCAGAATTATATGAAAAATTTGATAAAATAGTGATACGAAATAGTGCGCGGATTGTGAGCCCATTTACTACTTTCAAATCATACGCTATTTACTAAACTAAGTTCATGTATTTATTTAATATTTATCATAAATTTTTCGGATGCTTGCCAAGCTACAACGGAGAAAGTTGGCATTACCCACGAACTCAAGCCTAAACATATAGAGGCTCTCACGTATATCTACGAACAAGATAAGGATTTGATCGCCAACCTTCCCGTTGGCTTCGCGGCCAATTTAACTGGATTTCCCCGGAGCTCCGCACACTTGAAAAATAGTACCAGCCTTGCGGCAGTGGTATCCGGAGTTGTACAAAAAGGGTGCTGCATGAAGCTTGCTACAGATGGACAATTAACACCCACGCATTAACCATCTCAGGCATTAGCCACATTACACACCTCGTCTGGCTCCATACAAGAGTGCTGACAGAGTGAGGTTAGCAATCGTTCGATGTAGGGCTTGAAGAGCGCTTCCTTGTTGACGTCGTTCTTCGTTGCAAGCACTTCGGACAGCCGGTACCAGAAGTTGAACGTGATCTCTGACACCTCGTACTGGTGGTGACTGATGCACATCAGCAGCAGGTCCAGCGTGCGTAGGTCGCCTAGTCCCTGACGCACAAGCACGACCAAACAACGAATGTCAGCGATACAGATTCATACAGCAGAGAGAGAGAGCGAGAGAGAGAGAGAGAGAGAGAGAGAGAGAGAAGCAGAGGCAGAGGGCAGAGGCAGAGGCAGAGGCAGAGCAGAGGGCAGAGAGACAGAGAGACAGAGAGACAGAGAGACAGAGAGACAGAGAGACAGAGAGACAGAGAGAGAGAGAGAGAGAGAGAGAGAGAGAGAGAGTAAATAAGCAATTAAGTAAGTAAAACGTCCATCGTCGACAAGTCGAAACCATCCTCTTCGATAAATGCACAAGTACAATGCACAAGTTTTTACCTACAAGAAGGGGAAAATATTCCAAAAACTATGCTAGCATTTCACATGTTTGAGTCAGAACACTATAATATGCTTGCAATAATTTGGACTGGCTTGATTTCTTAATACTGGCAACTGTAGCATCACAGCATAGACATATATACACGCACGCATCCACATGCACACATCCACTGTCACTCTCATACTGCGGCACGATTGATTCCCGACTAAATCAGTGATGAGAAAGCAGCATCTGCCACCCGTATACCTGATTAGGTGTCATGATTACGCAGTCGAGAAACGACTCGGCCATCTCTGTGAAGATGCGGCAGTAGTTCATGGATTTGTCGAGATCCTCCTCGCCGACCGACGCCAGGTAGGCGTCGGGCAACGTGAGCACACCCTCGAACAGGACTTGTGAAAGAGCCTGGTGCTTATCCACTTCCTGCACGGACACCACAGAATACTGTATACACCATATTTTTCGCATACAGATATTTTCGCGAATTCAGAATTGACAGACAATTTCGCGAGTGGTTAAATTCGCGGTCGGTGAATTATGAATTATTCGGTTTTATTCGGTATGAATTATTCGTGTGTTGTTATTTTCGCGATCGGGGACGTGTTCGCTAAATTCGCGGAAAGGTAACCGCCGCAAATTATACAGCGTATACAGTAGCTGGTGAGACGACAGCCTACACACTCCGTGTGAAACTCCCACAGCAAATAGATTCCCACCCGAAAAATGGGATATCCTCAGGCCATAAGTTTTTGCGCCCAACCACTCTGATAGCCCATACCTATGCTTTACTTGCCTCGTTTAGGTTCACACAGCCCAACCTTTGTTAAGACACCTTTTATGAAACACGATGTGCTCCAGTTTTCATAACGCTCAAAGTGCGAGATGAAAATGAGCCTAATCAAGTAAAGTAGAGCTCTAATTACTATATGCCTTGATTTGCCAAGTTTGACCACGCGTGTATGCGACTGAAATCAAGCAAATACCAGGGCCAAAACGTGTAGTGTATCCGGCTTCTATTCTAAGCCACGTATTCACCCCCACCATCTACAATTAAACATGTCCATGAACCAAAAAAAAAACACACATTAAATGCTAGCTTGCATGACTGCGAGACGTTAAAATCGTGTTGTATGTGAGTTAAAGCCTATAATACACAACGTACCTCAACAGCAAACAGAGCGGCGCAGAGGCAGTCACAAGCAGCCTCATGGTACGAACCAGAGATCTGTGGTTCGCGCTGTGGAAAGCACCAAAATGCGGGTTACATTAAAAATAATTTCCTTCAACATTTCAATATTGGTAAACAATATTCTGTCATGACAATCTATTACGTCAGTGTATGTATACAGATGTTAAAACAGTCAAACAAATTTTGCATTTTATTACTGTCTCGCCCTATTAACTCCACAACATACATATGTGCATATATGCATGCCATACATTATTAGTGACAGACAAAAACAACACAAACATTGATAAAAACACCAACAACAGCAATGAGAACCACTCACCAGTGCCTCAAATATGCCGGCAATTAGCTTGCTGTGAGCCACCTGGTCTGTGGGGATGGAGCCGAGGTTAAACCAGCTACCAAGACATTTCAGCACACCTGTCTGTCGACGAAACTCCACCTCCCCTGGGGCTGACTCCATGTAGCTGGTCTGTGGGAGAGAAGAAGAAAAACAAATGACTCATCTGGGCTTTCTCTCGGTTGGCATCAGATGGACAGCCCTCATTTTATCAGAACTGCCATCGATTAAGTGCAGCAGCCAACCTTTGAAATTCAGAAACCCCTACTCCCAACTTTTAACGATAACAATCGTGATCTTTTGGGGTGAGAACTGCAGCAACTTAGCAAAGGGCACAGGTAGCATTCACGCATGAGGTTAGGCCACAGTTTAGACTCTGGAGATTCGGCACAGACATTGTGCACCCAGGAGGCAAAGTGCTGCCAGTGTCGTAGCCTTAAATCGTACCTCATTTTTAAGGACATCTCGCACCTGTTCTCTATTATTGACAGCCAGCACTCACTAGTAGCTGCAGCACGAGCGGCGCACTCTTTGACAATTCCTCAGTAATCTCTTTACGTCGATTATCGCCTAGTCGCAGCGACCTGCTATTGACCTCCTCCGGCAGAAACTTGAGAATATCCAGCAGCAAAGGCACGTGGTGAGGGTTTCCTCCAAACCTACACAGGAACATTAAAAATTTGTTTTTGATGGCCTTTTATGGCTGAACAAGAGAGCTATGAATACAGCAATTGTTTATTTCATTACTGAAGACTTCAAAGACAAGAAAAATTTGAATGCTAGTCATTATTTTATTTTTTTAGTGTGAGGTTTTGTAGGATAATAAAATTAGGCAATGTCAGCACCAATATTTCTACCTTTTTGAAATTATGCCAAAGTATGGCAATGTCTGATCTGGAGTAATTATTTAGTGTGAATTTGCACCATTACTTAAATGTTACTAATTCTATTTTCTCACCTTTGTATCAACTCATGTGCAGCATTTTTCCATGTAACCATTTGTAGTGCCAAATCAACTATCGCAAGGCATAACTTCAAAAAAATAAAAAAATACAGATACATTAAATGGTACAAAAAATGCATTATTCACAACATAAAACTCAACATACATTTACTACTTATAGTTATACATCAGGATGGGCATGTACGCTCGCTCACACATGCAGGCAGACACACACACATGGTCATAGTATTACTCTGATTCCACTCAATAAAAACACCCAGGCACCGAAACCTGCACTATTACCTCTAAAATTCAGGTAAACATTCTACCAACATCTGACTGTAGGACCACACGCACACGCACGCGCACGCATGCACGCACGCATGCCCACAAAACATATATATACTCACATGGAGTTTGTTGCGAAAAAACTTAGTGCTAGTGAATATAAGTACCTGTGTAACTATGATGTGGTTTGTTGACTCACTGACATTGTTGATGTGTTCTAGAAGAGAATCACGCAATGACTGGTGTGCTGCTTGTGGTAACTCATGGAAACAGTACTGCACCTATAAAACATAGCCAGACATCAAAATTGCTGCTAAATACCCAAAGATTAACAGAGGTGGTTTCACATGTTCACATTTCTGAACTAGACAAGATCTGTAGGTGTTAAAAAAAGAATGCATTTGAACTAGCTTAAAGTACTCAGATACTATACAGAGTTGCAATTAATATCTTACTTGAATTGTTAAGCTAAAGTCACACAGGGGCCGGACTGTCCACGGATTACCGCGGATAGGGCAGGATCTCCCCGGACCGTAAAATTTATAATCCGTGGCGATCCGGGTCGAAAAAAAGCATCATCGGGCCGGATCAGGCCGGACCAGCACGGCAGCGCCACGGACCATCCTGGATTGAGCCCGGATGAAGCCGGCCCCAGCACGGAGTCACTACGGACCGCCCCGGACCGCCCCGGACCGCCCCGGACTGCCTCGGACCGCCACGGACCTGATCCGGCCTGGTCCGGCCCCGTCCTGGCCCATCCGTGCTCCCTTCCGTGTTGGGTCCGGCTTGATCCGTAGTGATCCGTGGCCGACAAAAACGACACGGATGGCCACGGATGGGCCCGGTTCAACACGGTGCCACTACGGACTGTCCCGGACCTACCACGGACTGTCCCGGACCTACCACAGACGCGCCACGGACCGTCCAGGACCACCCCGGATGGTGAAAACTTCCCGGACCGTCCCGGATCACCCCGGCAATTTTAAACAGTTTAAAACATCCGGGGCGATATTCCGGAATGCGCCGGACCATCAAGGACCACCCCGGACCGGGCCGGACCGTCCAGGACCGTCCAGGACCCAACAAGGATCTCTCCCCGGATCAGTCCGGCAGCGTCCGGCCCGGTCCGGGAGCTTGGTGTGACTTTAGCTTTACGGCCAAGTTATAAAGGTACCAGAAAATCCATGTAATAACTATGGTATGAAGAAAGTCAAGAGCAAATTAAGTTAAGAGCATTTTGACATAGTTCTCATACTGTAGAGAAGTATGATGTGAATACATGACATGTAGCAAAAGCAGTAGCAGTAACTATACATACTTTTGTTCTCATCGTCTGTGCAGCAAAGTAGCAGGACTCCAGATCTGCATCTCTTATGTGTAACAGATGGTCTGATATTTCCCACGCATAAACCTAAATGGCCAGTATTCAGTTATAGGACAGTTTATGCAGTTTATGTATAATATAGTATGTACTCCATATTTGGAGCAAATATTTTAGGTGTTAAGCCCACCATCTATCTACTTGCTCCCTGGGAACCCCACACTACTTATGTAACAAGAAGTTATACATTCAGCAATCTACTTATATTCACACTTATATCATATTTATGACTCTTTGGTCAGTGATGATACCAGAAAATTCAATTTCTCTTCATTCAATTTCTGATGTGTGCCACTATACCTAACCCAGTTAAGAAAGTATGACACACAGAGGTTTAATATGAGATCACAGGCACTTGGAATGTCTCAAAAAAAAATATGTAAACACGAAATATATTTACTATCAAAGTCTTAATGTTTCTCTACTCTATTTCGCCTATTATTGCCGATAATTACCCGTAAATGCCGGTCAAATGCTCATCTGCAACACACAAGTACACCGCACGCCCGCCCTGCGCACAAACAACATGAATAAGAGAGCAGGTAGGAAAGCGTGATCGCAAAATTCGCTCGACGCTCGCTTCATTTCACACGCCTACAGAACGAAAACACACCAAACAGCCTCCATCTTGGTATCTATCTGTAGCTAAATGTTCACTTGTTCGAATTATAACTCTGTCCTTTGTTCTTACCTACTCCCACCAGAGATATCTCGTGAAATCCTGCAGGAAATGTTCTCTCTGTGAAAATGTAGAGGACGTATCATCCGAAAAATCCCTAACAACGCTACTTTCGATTGATCACTGTAGTCGTGTGTGTGTGACGGCATGCCCGCGCGCATTATGCTTGGCTTGGCGGGCCTCGAAACAGAGGCTCGGAGGCAGGCAGCAGCTCATCCCGGCATGCAATGCGCCCCATTACTCGTGTATAAACAGACATCTCGTCCTCTTTACATTTTCACGGAGAGAACATTTCCTGCAGGATTTCACAAGCTATCTTTGGCGGGAGTAGGTAAGAACAAAGGACAGAGTTATAATTCGAACAAGTGAACATTTATGTACACATAGATACCAAGATGGAAGCTGTAGGATGTGTATTCGAGCTGCGATGGTGTGAAATGAAGCGAGCGTCAAACAAATTTTTCAATCCCGCTTTCCTACCTGCTCTCTTATTCATGTTGTTTGTGCACGCAGCACAGCGCGGGCGGGCGTTCAGTGTACTTGTGTGTTGCAGATGAGCATTTGACCAGCATTTACAGGTGATTATAGGCGAAATACAGTAGAGAAACATTAAGACTTTGGTACATTTCGTGTTTATTTACCTTTTTTTTTTTTATTGAGACGTTCCAAGTGCCTGTGCATACAACTCATTCATTGCATTGTATAAGATTGTAATAATTGGTGCAAACTCATTGCACACACTACTGCTATTTGGGCTATAACGATTCACCGATCATGTATCTCTGGCGCTGACGCGCTCCTGCCTTTCTTTTTTACTGCATTGAATTATTTGCATTGAAACTGAAACTGTGAAAGTTCGTGAACACTGTGTCTGTAGGTGGCATGCGAACGGGGACGGGGCAGACTGTATTGTAAAACTAAATGAATTTGAACGGCATTATGTGGGATTATCAGGCGATAGAGATTAAATAAACATTAGGACTGTTTGCAAGTACATTCTGTGTTTATTTACCATCATTTTATTATTGAAACGGGTCAAGGGCCATGTGACATGTGTTTCGTCCTATCATGTCAGAATCACAGGCAAAACTCACCGACTTTTGTAACTCTCCGAGCCAAAACGAAGCTCTTTCTTTAGCCGTGACATCAGGATTATGATACAAAGTTTGGATTGCTTGCGTTACCGTCTCTAGGGAAGGAGCCGCTTCCATTCTGACTCAAATAACCGGGTTACCACTAGACTTTTGGTAAAAGTTCTCTACATTTGTCATTCCCCGATGCGACAGACAGACAGAGATTACCGCCGCAGTCGGAAATTTCCCGTGTCTGGTTGGATCTTAAATAAGAATGATGTCATAGATGTCACCGTTCTGCCGGTTTGACTAAAAGAAGTCGCGACAGTTTATAGACCCTGTTGACCCTTTTGCTGAGTTTTATATATTGAGTACTAATTTATTTTACTCTCTTATTCGTGAAACATTTTCTTGAAATTATTTTGATTTATATTACCAGTGCAGCATATATTTGTCACTAGATGGCGGCAGCAGCTAGAGTGCGATAGTACGTGTATAATAATCGTCCACACACAGCAATGGTAAGAGTTAGTTGTTAGTGTTTTCAATCTAACGAATATGTATAAGTAAACGGTCATCTGCGAATATAAAAACTTCGACTTTATCCCAAAATATTAAACTTAGGGAATCTATGCATTTGTGGGGGCTAGTGTTATCAATACTGTGGCTGTGCTATTTTGCATCGCGCTGTATTGTGTTTATGATACATTGATAGACCCGGCTTCGCCACGTATACACATTACACTGTTATCAACTTCACTGTTAATGTTATCAGTATTGGAGCTCCTCGTGTCGATTTGTTAATTTAAATTGTCGTTATGTTTACTGATTTTATTGCCAGAGAATAAAGCGTTCTTAAATTTATCTGCCACAAGAACAGCTTGATTGCATGATAATGTAAGAGTAATTGGAGAAGCATTATTATTATTATTTGCCATTAACGTTGTTGTGAGTCACTGATTGGGAGTAAGAACCTAGTGGCGCTGAGAGGGTCTATGTCCCCCAGCGTACTGCCGGAACGTACCCTGGTACCAGAGCATATAAATCAACGTGATTTATATGCTCTGCTGGTACTATCTAATATGCCGGACCGTACCTCGTCTACTCCACTAACGAGGCTAGGGAGCAGCACACGCCTACTCCCTAACCGGGTAACCCACAGGCACTTGAAGCGTGTCAACTGTTAGCACACGCCGCCGCCATTGCGCGCACACTGACACATAAATATATAGCAAGTGAGAAAGTGCGATCCCAAAAATTCGCTCGACGCTCGCTGCATTTCTCACGATTTCAACACAAATACACATCCAACAGCTTCCATCTTTGTTTCTCCTTCAAGAACAGTGTTCACTTGTTATAAAAACATAATGTCTCTGTTCGTAACCGAGCTGTGTCACGCGAAATCACACAAACACTGACGAAATTCTCGCGTTCGCTAGCACTGCGCACGGATGGTAACGAACTTTCACCCATGGTTAAAGGCGGCGAAAGTTCGTTAACATCCGGTGCGCAGTCGCGCTTTCTCACCTGCTATATATTTATGTGTCAGTGTGCGCGCAATGGCGGCGGCGTGTGTTTACAGTTGAAACGCTGTGCAGTGAAACAAGTGCCTGTGGGGTAACCCTAACTCTAACCCTAACTGGGTACCCTAACCCTAACCCTAACCATATCAGATAGGTACCAGGGTACGTTCCGGCAGTACCCTGGGGGACATAGACCCTATGAGCCCTAGTGGCAGTGTATTTACGGCCCCTCCTAGTCCTAGTAGTAGTCCTAGTCCAGTGCTTGGCTAAGGATTTGTATCAAAAGTGATAAAGTAGCTATGCTGGAGAAGTGAGTGGTGTGTTAGGTCTTGCGCACAATCTACCTAGTAAAGCTCACCACTTCGCAGACAAAACAAAATTTTCTGTAGAAGCGACAGAGTACCATTAGTGGGTTAAAAAAAATGTACTAACTTACTTTTTACTTAATAACTTGACACCTATGCACAAATCACAGAGAGTTTGCTACCATCATGCTGCCAGATGTAATTTTAGGGGGTTCCGATGGCGGAAATCTGGTCAATTTGTGCATAGTGTAAAGTTAGTGACACATTTTACCCAACTGTTTTACTCTACAATGGAAGCACTTCCATTTCTGCAGGAAATACAGCATAGGTGGAATGAATGTTGATGTGGAATAGTTTTATAGGTAGGCAGTGTGCAGCATGTAACACATGCGGTCCAGGGCGTTATTATTATTAATGAGCTCCAAGTACTTACACAGTATGATATACAACTAATCCTTTATGATTCGATATAAAAATGTCAAAATTGAAACATTAGGGAAACATCAGGGGGGTGAAAATGGTGGTTTTTGCCTGCAAGTCCGGGACTTCTCAGCAATATTTTTGGAAGGTCCGATGAAAGATTTGAAAGATCCAGGATCAAATCCAAGCCATTTTCCATATCGAATACCAGCACCCAAATTACGATCCTTAGCAAAACGCCCAAATTACAAAATTCATAAAACGCCCAAATTAGCAGAGCTCTGATGCAGATCTCCATGTTTCTATCGTTATGTAGGCAGTTTTATAAAAAAAAATGCTCCTATAAGATCTATAATCTATTATCTGAATAAAATGTGTTGTCCAAATGCCCAATTTAATGTCATAAATAAGTATATATATAATTTTTTTTATGCTCTCTACGCTCGCCGTGGGTGCCCATATTAGGCAGCTAGATTAGTCCCTGAGGTCCGAATATCGTTTGTTTGGCTAATAGATTATTTGGTAACAGTGGATCCACTTATTTATATACAAAACCAAACATAAACAAACTTATGTTTGCCTTTGTTTGATACAATACATGCGTCATCTGCAGGCATTCCGAGCTACTCGCACGAGTGATGAGTTTATGCTGAAACTGCGCGCGCATCCGCGTTAACTTCCGTTATCAACAACCATGCTACTAACGTTCCAGCATACCCATAGATCAGTATGTGTAATTTCGATCAGATGTTTGGTAAATTTCACTCTTATACTTGGTATGTTTCATTGTGAATATTAAATATGATACTAGATGTCGACAGTAACCAAAAATCGATCTACTTTCACTTTATTTCTTCGCAATTTGCAACATTTGGTTTAATGATGTTTTATTTTATGAAAGTGGAGTACTGTAAATTATTGATAGGTTTGACGGACTTTCTGCTTGGAAATTGCGAAGGTCCGAGCGTGAAATCGGCAGGTCCCGAACTTCGGACTTGCCCTATTTTCAGCCCCTATTTGTGTGGAGCACCCGATGCTCGATCAGACAGAGGAACAAGATATTGTTGACAATTATGTTTCTGACTATCCTGCTGCAAAATTCTCCCATTATACCACTGCAGAAGTGAGGCGTTGGAATCAATAATAATGACCACTAAGTTACTAACTACGTGCTTGTATCTGTATTTGCAGGAGTCCAGTATAGAACACATGGCTCGGTATGTGAGCCCAGTGAATCCAGCAATCTACCCGCACCTGACAGTCGTACTCCTAGGCATCGGAATCTTCTTCATGGCATGGTTTTTCGTGTATCCTTTGTACTGCATTACATGTCTATTACTATTAGTAAGCATACATATGTAGTGCTAAGCTGTCAGTTATCAGGCCAATTCATTTCAACAATTGTAAATCCTAATTAAAAATACACTCTTGACAGCTTTTGAGCGGGTATTGCTCTAATGAAGAGTTAATGTTTATTGACAAATGAATAGAATAAATCACATGGTTTATTTATAGATGAGATGTATTTCTATGCTCAAGCCAAAAAATTCCATAAAATTTTCAGCTATTTACAATTATAACTATCACTGGCAGATCTATGCTGGCTGTAGAAGGGTTGATGCTGGTAGATTCTGGCATAATGAATACCATAAAAAGCTGGTTGTATTACGTCTCTGACATCGGCAGTGTTTCAGTGCTGCCACTTTATACTTTTTTAAAGCATACTTTTTTTTCAGAAAATATACTTTTTATATGTTTTTCACACTTTTTCATGCATAAATACTTTTAAATACTTTTTTTGCCAAAGATGGTCAAAACTTTTCGGACTTACATCTAAGTACACTATATTTGATGAGATTAAAGGTGTGCTTTGCTAGTCTTCTTGCAGAAGTGATGGTGTGCTCTGTTCAGTGGAGTGTTTTTGCTCTCAGCTCTCCGCTGTCAGTGACCAAATGACAGAGCATTGCAGTGTTTCCCCTGCATTGACACGAGCGAGGCGGGCCGCCTCGCTCAAATTCTCAGCCGCCACACTGAAATTTGTCCAAAAAACCACCTCGCTGACGAAACCTTTGGCAACTTGAAAAATAGATTCAAGAGTCTCATACAATGTGTCCCAGAATAGCTTAGAATGCACCAAATTGCACCTTTTTTTTTAATTTCTGGGGCGGGCATGCCCTTGGACCCCTCTAGCTGGCCAAGCACATGCACTCCTTGCTTTGGTAGGACCTTGAAACACACAAACACCTCAAAAAATTTACCGCCTCACAGACCTTTCTGGCCAAGAGACTGCATTGCATATTCCAAACCAAGAGACAACTCCTCAAGACGTTGCACACATAATTCCTGAAGCTTGTTAACATGCTGCACATAGGCTATAATGTATTCGATAATAAGGTATAGGGTAACAAGTGACTACAAATCATGGTAGGTTGATACAAATTTATACTGTTTTTATACTTTTTTTTGACAATTTTGATACTTTTTTCTGGACAGATTTTATACTTTTTTGTAATATCCTGAGTGGCAGCACTGGTGTTTAAAACGGCATGTTCTCGCAGCAAAATGCGTGAACTCGTCAATGATGTAAAAATTTGCTATTCATTTGTATTACTACTTTCATAACATTTCTTTAGCAAACCTAAACAGTCTTACGAAACTAGTATTTTCAATGTTTACACAGTGTTTACACATGCGGGACATAGCCGAGCGATTGCAGTTTTCATCTAACAAGTTATTCGATTCATTATTCGATGTTTGTTCAGTGCAAAATTGTGAAATTTGTTTAAATCATATATTATCTACATTACTTATGCAATCAGCAAACAAATATAGTGTTTTCTTTCCAGGAACTATTTGCGCTAGCGGAGGCCTACTGTTAGCATTCTCATACCGCGTTCACACGTAGCTAAAACCCAGTTTCGTACGTACTCAAGACAAATTTCCCTCGTGTGAACGACCACATATAGCTATACTCTGTTCGAAACATGTACAGCTATACTGAACAAAAAGGTGCGTATCGTACGTACTTTGTATAACTATACGCATTTCATACGCGTATAGCAGACATGTGAACAACCGGCTCTAGCTATATACACGTATAACTGGGCGGAGCAACATCCGCAGATTATGAAATATAAGCTCACTGCGCGACTTGTCGGGCTTACACGGCGATACATATGATCATACGATACATATGATTATACGTGTGAACGCTGTATAACTCGAGGCCACGCTTGACGCTTCGTACGGAGTACGTACGATACGCGTTCAAAACTGGGTTTTGAGGTACGTGTGAACGCGGTGTCAGTCACATCACTCTTATGTGTATATGTATGCTGAAACGCTGTCCGACGAAGTTTCAAAATAACATAAAAATAGTCGGCTTTGGAGCACATATCTGGCTCAATAAGAACATTTCGTGATGTTTGCATACTGCAAGTATGCTCACAGTAGGTGTATGTAGGCTTTTTGTTGCGAGGTTTATCCATTTTAAAGGGCCACTGCTGACTACACACGCACGGGCAATCAAAACGATCTGAAAGTTCAGTCATCGGTATATGGAGAAATAAGCATGTACAGTGGTGACACCTAGTGTTAGCCATCGCATAAGAATGAAAATGAAAAATCAATAACATTTTGCATAAAAGCATGAGTGTATCCTTCAGCATTTTGGAATAGACCTATATGTGCTTATGATATACAGAGAGTAATTATGATATTGTGTGATACATTCGTGTGGCACATAGAATGTGTACATGTAAAACCGTTTGCAATATGGTTTTCTATATATGGTATTTCATTCAGTTCAATATATACAAAGTTTTTACTGCAGAGAATGTTGCCAAAAAACCAACAATTTAATTAGCCCTAGCAATTTACGCTTGAGATGACTTAAGGTGCATAACATCCGGAATGTTTAGGATAAAATTAAGGTTGCAAGCAGTTGATTAAAAAATTAAACTATCAGTGGCAGTAATAGCACATTAATAATTATTTATTCTTAAATCTAGATACATTTATTGCTTACACTCTGGTACTTGCATTCGTTTATAATGACCTTGACCAGCTGCTGCAGATATGAAGTAACGTCAACAAAATTCACACGTGACATTTTCAAGGAGTTGCTAGTGTCCCTATTTGCTGCTATCTTCATGGGTGTTGGAATCCTTTTCCTGCTCTTGTGGGTTGGCATCTATGTCTGATGTTTTTTCTGTGAGGTATGAAAACATTCTTGTGATATTTTGACACTAAGTGTAAATAATACAGAGGAATTGCCTTTTGACTCTCAAAAAGCGTGTGCGGCAAAATGAAACAGTCCCTAGTCTGAAGTTCCAAATTAATAATGATGATCGTAGCCGACACAGGTCAAAATAACTGTTGGAATGACGAAAATTATCATGTAATGTTGTAATATAGTGTTTGGGGTCTTTTGTTTATGTGCAACGAGAGTGATTTCATTGTTATCGATTACAGGTTATTGAGGAGGATAACAAAGTTTATAAAGTGACCTGCAGGTGACGGGCTCTGTCGGCAGAAGGAGTATTCATCGCATTCCATTGGGTATCTTTGTTCTATCTGTCACCAAGGATTCTATCATCATGCCACGCCAGATTCTCTGACTGCTGCTGTAAGGGTGGCACTTACAGTGCCATTTTCACAATGCATTTCATCGACGATGGGTGTAAGAGTTGCCCGTGCATCAACAAAGCTTGCTGTACGGTGTGTATTTTGTTTCAAAATGCATTAACAAAATTTCCCCTGATACATGATCTAACATGGATGCAAACCATGCCTCGTCGAAAATTCGCAGTCTTGATGTGTATTTAATCAACTCGCATGAATCAATAATTTATTGCCATGTGCGAATACAACTCCAGTGGTAAACTCTGAATTCTCATCTGTCGATCAGTTATTTAATGAAAAGATGGAAACTTTTTGAAGCGATTTGTGTGAGAATTGGTACATAGTACAACATGAGTATCCAGCATGCCTAAAGGATATGCCCGTTCTTGCTCTTCTTTGTATGATTGAATATGTATGTGTGAGTTTCTCTACTATATTGTGTGACGAAGAATAAATTCTAAAAGCCTGAAAAATTATGTGTACATTTTTAGAAATCAAATTTTCGTCTTGCTTGTTTTTTTTTACCCTAAACATGTATGTTTTGCTATCTATTAAAATATTTTGTTGAATGAGATTGGATTAGCTGACCATTGATATATTAGAATCAAAGTAATGTTAGAATATTCCATGTAGTTGACATATTATTGGTAATCGTACGACCATAATTTATGTCTCTTGAACTGAATATTGAACTGAATACTTGTCTCTGAATATTGCTAACAGCTATGTGTAAGATGTTCACTGTTAATTCCATTTCCAGAATTCTGTATGTATCATAGGGTTTTATTACATTTAACACCATTAAACATATACATATATTTCCACAAACATTAATTGGGTATTTAAAATAGAAGAAATCTGAAAATAGATCAATCATAGTTGATAAATATGATTCATTGAATATATAATCAATTGAATGACAATAAAGTTTGTTTGTGTGTATATATATATACATATATGTATATATATATACATATGTATATATATATATATATATATTCTAGTGAATAATTGAAATGTAAGAAGTACACTTGGAATTCAAATTCAGTTAAAAAATTACATTACTTTGTTATTCACTATTCGTGAAATAACTCATTACGCATACATATAGACTCTTCCAAACGTCAAACATCAAGCAATAAGATTTTGCGGTGCATTTTTGCTAGGAATATTCGGTTACTCACACACACCACAGTCACGGATCCAGAAGGGAATTCTAGGGGGGCGAATCATGCGAGATCAATAGCACGAAGCGCCCGAAGGGGGAGGGGAGGAGGCTAAAATACCCTGAAAATTCTAGGGGGCCGCCCCCTGTGCCCCCTCCCTCCTGGATCCGGCACTGCACCACATAGAAGGTAGCTTCAGCGTCAAAGCGCTGCGGTGTTAAACAGCGCCAACAATTACTCAAACCCGCTGCTGACTTTCCTTGCACTGTAGGTTACGCAGTAACTACGCCACCGTACGTCGCACCTGCGCATGATTAACCAGGCAACTCTTCGCATGAAGCTAACGGAAGCCGCGCACACGGCGTGGTGCCCCAGCTAAGGTAGACGACGTCGTAGCAGCAGGGCCGAACGTCGCAAAAGTCGCTTCGCGCAATGCGGTTAGCGCTTATTTGCGCACGGTGTGCCACATGGCGATCGGTTTGCGCAGTGACGTCATCATCTGGTTCCAGTGCGACAGAGTCTTTCCGCTGGTGCTCGAGCCGACGATCACGTGACCGACGGTGAGCTGTTCTCCGTCTGCAGCCATCTCACTGATGGATATGCGAAGTTGGATCGACTGAAAAGCATATATACGTAGACGCTTAGAACTCTCTACTTAGTATTGTATTATCTAGAGCAGTTCGTGAGACAAAATTAATGCACCCGGAGCATTTTTAACTAGGTTTGGAAAACCCCTTATTCCGATTCCAGTACAACATTACTGAGGTACAATTCAAGGAGAGTATAGAAAGAGGGAGACGTGCCAAAGCCGTTTTATTATCGCTGGAGTGTGAAGCGAAATGTTGAGATGGGCCAATAAAGCATTCGCGACAACGTGAAACAATCCCCGGTTTGCGAATCTTTCAGCAATAACCCAGCATCGCGCGTCCGTGTTTATAATGCGAGAGTGGAGTGGACATGTCATAATTTTTTAATAATGCCTGTTCAAACTACTTGCTACGAGCAAACCTTCTTATATTCGTGTTTTGTATGATTTGATTCGATAAGACGCACTTGTAAATGGATAGTATACATTCCCGGACAGGGTACTGGGATTTCATACGGCCACATTAGTGTCGCTGTTCATTTAAGGAAAGCGGGTGGATCATAAATCGTTAATAGGTCATATTCAGATTAGCCCTTAATAATTTATGCTAAGGATATGTATCATAAACTGTTCTAGTGCGTGTGGTTACTGTACTATAGTATACGGTGTGCTAACAACCCCTAGACTACTAAGCGGACTTAACGAGTCATTTTATTACGCTTTTGGTTGTATTGACTATCAAGCTTTTCCTCGCCATAATAAAGTATTATATTTCAGTACATTGCATATATTTCATTGCGTAAGTGTAGGTGTTTACTTACGATTAAATTGCTGTACATTTGAAAGAAGTTGAAGTAATTAACGTAGGAGTCGGATGATCAAATTTTATGAGGATATATAGATTTATATATAATATATATATATTATATATATATATATATATAATATTGTATTATATATATACGAATATAAGAGATTCATTTAAGGACGACCGGAGCAAAATTGATATATTAGTCTAATATTTCAATGTACAGTATAAATTTTAACTATTACTTTGTAAATTATGCGAAGTCAACAGTCAAGTAAGGGCATTCGAATAAATTACAGCGTCGTCGGGACGCGCAGATCTACTGCACTATCCCACACAGATTCGTCGAGCATTTTATCAAGAGTCATAATACCTTTATTAAGTAATTATATATGATATTATTTATAAGGTATAATTAGCTCTTGATTTTATATATATATGTGCAATATAAAGTGTAAAGATATCCGATAATCAATATTGTACCCTTGATATAGTTAGACAGCTCGTATCATACGCATTATTAGGAATCAATTAAACAAATTTTCACTCCTTGTATTATAATATATACAAGTATACGAAAAAATATTCCTAGCACAAATACGATTAATTTCTCCCTTCTCTTGCTCTATTTTTTTTCCCATGCTTCCCTTTTCACATTTACTCCATTCCTCGTCCTAATCCTCTTTCTCTCATCTCCCCCCCCCCCTTCTCTTCTCGCTCCCTCTCTAATTCTTTCTCTGACATCTCTCTCTCTCTCTTTCTTCTCTGCTATTATTTCTGCTCTGACTCTGTTCTTCTCTCTCTCCGCTCGCGCTCTCTCTCTCTTTTCTTCTCTCTTTCTCTCTCTCTCTCTGCTCTCTTCTCTCCTGCTTTCTTTCTCTCTCTCTCCGTATCTCTCTTCTCTCTCTCTCTCTCTCTCTCTCTCTCTCTCTCCTCTCTCTCTCTCCTCTCTCTCTCTCTCTCTCTCTCTCTCTCTCTCTCTCTCTCTCTCTCTCTCTCTCTCTCTCTCTCTCTCTCTCTCTCTCTCTCTCTCTCTCTCTTACGTACTCCGCTTTCCTAACCTTCATGATTTTTATAAGGTTTGTGTTGTTCAGAAACATACCGAACCCGAAACCCGTTGGTTGGGGACCGTGGGTTGGGGTAAACATCCCGAACCCGTTTCCGATTTTTTTTCAGAAAAAAAAACACATTTTCCGTATGCATGCTGCGCTCAGTCAGTTGAGGTTGAGAAGACAACCTTGTACGCGTGGTAGGATATGACACACACACACTCAACTTTATACGTCGCTCGCTAGAAATGCATATTATGCAGTGCCCATACTGGTATATTGAAGTGAGATGCCAACGTCAGTACCTACGTACGTCAGTAAGTCAGTAAATTCAGTGAGTAGTCAGTAAGTAGTAAGTAGTAAGTAAGTAAGTAAGTAAGTCAGTAAATAATCAGTAGGCCCTATGCAGAAAACGTCGCTCATGATCAGTGCTGTTGTTGTGCTGTTGTTGTTGTATAGGTGCTATTGTTGTTTTAGCTACTGTCGCTGTTGATGTCTCTTATTGTAATGATGATACCGATAATCATGACGATGATGATAATTATGACGACAACGATGATGATGATGCTGATGGTGGTAGTGGTGATGATGATGATGATTAATGCAATGGTACTTCATTTAATTTTAATTTGTACGTTTTATGTGATAATATTTACATTTTATCAGGTATTTGGTTTATTGAGATAAATGAATAATAATAATAATAATACTAATAATAAGTAATAATAATAATAATAATAATAATAATAATAATAATAATAATAATAATAACATCAGTTACCTGTAGAATTTGAGCAGACACGTTAAATATCATCGCTTCGTTAAATATAGGGTTGCATTCTCCTCGCTTAGTCGTTGTCTTTTTCTTGTTGATTTTCTTTCCGTTCTGTAGTAGATAGACCTTTACGAAGGAATCTGCAGATAATGGGAAACACCGCATGAATGTCGGAAGATAAATACATTTTCAAAAAAATGTGAACGGACGTTTTCTAAAGGAGGAAGTCATCAACAGATTTCGCATTGCTGTGCCGAGTAATCTTGCACGAGCGAACTACAAAGGCAGAGCGAGTCAATGTACCTTGGCCTACAGACGCTCTTGAAACGTGACTTCGGAAAACGTCGTAAAAGCTAACGTAACGTTACTGCTGGAGACTGCTTATATTAACCAGGGCATGCGACTCGCCGACATCATTGTTACCTCCGCCCAACGGAGTTGGAGGAGGTTATGTTTTCGCTCTCGTGTGTTCGTGTGTTCGCGCAATCGATATTAGCGCGGCGGTCGATCGATATCACCCAGCGAGCCAGCGAGTCGGCAAGCCAGCGAGCCCAGCGAGCCAGCTCGTAGCACATACATGTTACATGGGAGCGTGTACATGTCAGTACGCTGGCGTATATCGTCGGTTATTCGTGTGTTCGTGAGTCGTATGGCGTATGGCGTATGTTGCTGGCGGAGGTATGCACTCCGTTAGTGCATTCTGTCTAGTTAAAGCTGTGTAACGCTGCCGTAAATATGGGTACAATATTAGTTATGAACCATGAATAATTGCGCATGACAATCTTCAGCATGTGTACCTTGTACATTGTATTTAGTACGTTTTGAATATTAGTATAGACTAGTAATCTATTTATTTTACCCACTCTAATTAATTAATAATAGCATCTCAAATATATACTCTCTACGCGTAGGCTGAGCTGTGGTAAGTATTTCTAAAGGGTACCGAACATTTCCTAAAGTTATGGCGATCTCATGCATAATATAACGCAATTACTGTCAACCAATATCTGTTTATATTGTCTGCCTGTATAAGGAGAGCTCGCCTTAGGGAAATATCCTTATTGGAATACACTTGGGCGGTTTATGCGTCTATGTCTATATGCATAGCCGAGTGACTGGTCAGTGATCCTCTGTTCTGCCACATGCATAAACGTTTACCAAGACTGTACTTCGTATGCCCTACATGTTATAATCTTACGAGAGAAACTTGTGTGCGTGCGAGTGTAGGCCTATGTACGCAAGTACGTGCGTAAGTGCATGTCTGTGCGCGTGTATGCGTGCGTGCGTGCGTGCCAGAATAATGACTGCACTGCAACTCGTGAACAGATTTCGGCTGTGAGATACCCTTCAGACGCCTCAGACTGAGATCGACATGCTGCTTGCTCGGTGCCTCTCTCTCCGACGTCTCCCGGCTTCCCATTTACATATTGCGGGCATGCCCTTTTTGCACGTGTTCTCACTTATCAATCGATAAAACAAATAATAAGTATATTAGTTATTAGTATTAGTTTAGTATATTAGTATTATAGTATTTGTGATATTATATTGGATACATTTAAAACGAAATAAAAATTCATCGAAAGAGTCGTGTAGAGTTTTTAAACACATTCATCATGATATTTCATAGCTAACTAAACATCCAGCCAAAACCAATCCAAAACTTTTTCAAACTTAAACTGTTAATAAGTATATTGTTTTCAATAAGTACATTTAGTTTATTGTTTATATATTGTATAAAAGTAAAGTTTTTTAACAGTAATCCATGCAATTGGAAATTACAATTTACGGCAAAAACGTTTTATTCAAAGTCATTGTTGATATCTTATTAGGTGATTTTTAAATAAAATTAGAATAATATTGATTCAATTAAGAGTGTTCTTGTAGTTTCATTGGATGCATATATGCTTCTCCATATGATTTGTGTAAATGTTGCATGCTGGTTGTAGAAAGGTTGCAGAAACGTTGTATAACGTTGGGAGGACGTTGCACCGCAACGTAATTCACAACGTTGTGGCAACGTTTAGAAAACTCCACACATTTACGTCCCCACAACGTTATACCACAACGTTGCCACAACCAAAACGTGACGTTGTCACAACGGTGCCACGACGTGAATGTGCTAGCTGGGTGTTGATAATATGATTATTCTGATAATATAAATTACTACGGCACTTGTGGCAAAACGTTTTGCCTTCATTATTTCCTGTTTACAGCCCACACTTTGCAAGGTATTGATTGCTTCGCCAGAAAATGTCGATAGCTAAGATGCTTTTGTTCAGTGCGCTAACAAGTAGCGTAATAACAGACTGGATATCATTGCGGTCACTGATCATCATCATATATCATTAAAAAAATTATGGGAATCATTTGGTCAGACAAAGTAAGGAACGTTGACCCATGGGAAAAAACTAATTATGCAACAACCGATCGCAACTGACATCAAGCGAATAGAAGAAAGTGGAGGTGGATTGGCCACCCCTTACGCAAATCTAGAGACTCCATCGCCAGGCAAGCACTGACATGGAACCCTCAAAGTCAATGGGGAAGGGGCCGTCCGAAAAGCACATGGAGGAGGTCGGTCGAAGCCGAAATCAAAACCGAGGGACACACCTTGGACACCATCAGGTAACTCGCCAAACACCGAGTCAGATGGCGAGGTTTCATCAATGGCATATGCCCCCCGGGGGGGGCACTTTCTATATATTGTATGGTAGGTATGTGCCGCGGGAGACCCCCTTTTCACCTCAAAATTTCCGTTCCGGAGACCCCCTTTTCCACCCGCTTCTCACATTCCGTTCCGGAGACCCCCTTTTCACATATTTCCCGTCCCTGCGCATATGTCCTACTTTTTTCCGCACGTTCCGGAGCTCCCCCCCCCCACCCCCATTTTGATGTGCTGAGTTAGTACCGGAGCCCCCCAATTCCATCTCTCAAGTGGCACATACCTACCCTATTTTGTAGGGAGTGCCCCCCGGGGGCATATGCTACACCCATGAGCCACGCACGGACGTGACTGGCTGACTGCATGACTGACTTATCATCATGTGTAATGTACCTACGATTGTTTATCACAAATATATGTTACGATCTTGATTCCGGCTTAATTGCGACATTTAGCCGTCCGACGTCGGTTACGGAGGTTGCGCGATGTATGGGTCAGACAGACGAGAAGAGCGCAAGTTGTGTGGGAAGTCTAGCTGTTAGCCGGATCAATTCGTTAGCAGGGATTACATCAGCGACAGGTTTCCGCGGGATATACAGGCGAAACGATACTGTATTATTTCATACATGAACAACAAAACCATGCGCAACTATAAACTTTACATTTACCCAGACATTATAATATATGGTATTTGTATTATGGTATATAATGGCTCTGGATAGAATTATACGGAATTTTAAAATTTTTCTACTATTATATTAAAATAGCATATTTACCTATAATTGTAGGAGTATAATACCGCAGCCTAATAATCTTCTATCGATTTGTAAGGAAGATCATTCGGTGACTAAAATACAACATTCACATGCCTTCGGATGCGTAGGACGTTTCGGCAAATGTCAACCACATGAAAATGTCATAGTGGTAAGAATATCACGGAGTAAACATTTCTATTCAATGAGTATATATATATATATATATATATATATATATATATATATATATAATAGCCATACTGAAAAGATACTGAAACACGATATAACAGTGCCATTACGTGTCGTGTCCGGTGTAATAGTGTTAATGGTGTTTGTGATACTTAGCAGGGATTCTGCAATATTTTCACACGAATCCGCTTGGGAAACCCATGTTGTGGGATATTCTGCTTCGCGTGTTTCACTAACAACGAACTGTGCATCGTTCACGAGCACAACACACACGCGCGTGCGCACACACACACACACACACACGCACGCACGCACGCACGCACGCACGCACGAACACACACACACACAAACACGCACGCACGCACGCACGCACACACACACAAACACGCGTGCGCGCGCACACACACACAACACGCGTGCGCGCGCACACACACACACACACACACATACACACACACACAAACACACACAAACACACACACACAAACACACACAAACACACACGCGTGCGCGCACACACA